CGGGGGACTTACTGGAGCAACTTCCGACCTTCTCTGCCAGCTTTCCACAAGCTTGACTTTGCTTGTGGAAAGCTGAAAGGGAAGGTCACAAATGGCAATCACATGACCACAGGGTGCTGCAACCATCATAAGTGCAAGCTGGTTGCCAAATGCCCAAATCATGATCATGTGACTGCACGTGGTATGGTATGCCAGCTGGAACTTCGAGGACCAGTGGTAAGTACCACTCATTCAGCGCTGTTGCAACTTTGAAGGGTCACTGAACAAGTGGTTGGTAAGTGGGACTAGCTGTAGTGAAATTTACATATAGCTAGAATTTTAATTTGAGTCCATATTCCATATCCTTTCATAGTGAGCTTTTCTACTTAAAATGTTATTAGCTAAGGAAATTACTTCTACACCCTCACAACCATGAATAGCTGGAATACACAGTGCCCACCATTTTGACAAAATGAATTCAAAGAACAGAAGTAATGAAATCACTAAAATATGTTCAACGAATTTTATGAATTTCTGAAAAGTACCCAAGATTGGCCAAAGAAATGAAAATTAAATTAAGTGATTAGGGTAAATCCAGTTAGATACACAGTAGAGAAAGGAATATATTCAATTCAAACAACTATGTGCTTATTTGTTTAAAATATGTATAATGCCCCAACAAAGTTAGAAAGAAAGAAAGAAAGAAAGAAAGAAAGAAAGAAAGAAAGAAAGAAAGAAAGAAAGGATTAAATAAATATTTAATCAATCAATTTATATAGCTGCCCATTCAGCACACGACTCAGGACAGCATACATCATCAAATAACAATAAATTCCATTAAGGTGGAATACAAAATTATACAGGTACATTGTTGCAAAAGTGTTGCAATAATACTCAGTGGTATAATCATCATAATCAGGGGCATTTCGAAGAACCTTAAAGACCTGGCTCTCCACCCAGGCCTTTAGTGAGAATGACTGATTTTTGTATGTTGTTGTTGTTGTTCTTAAACATTTCTAACAAATGTAAACCATCCAGAGTCGCTGGGAGTCGGGTGACATATAAATGTAGTAAATTATTACTATTATTGCAGTATTATTATTATTATTATTATTATTAAATTGTGACCAGACATGAATGGGTTGTGACCTGCTCAGATGTATTTGCACAGGCATTAATTACATTTGGACAAGCATTAATTACACTATCCCAAATGTGGAACATACCAGAAGAATAAGTAGAATTAAACTGCCTGCTCCAACTTGTCATCCAAGGAAGTTCCAAAGCATGATTTGGCTAAAATGGATTCATGTGTCAGAATGTCTCAACTCCTCATACAGGAGTTATTTATTGCAGCCACAACTGCAGCTGAACCTCCATCTACTGCAGGCAATGTTGAATATAGCTCACAAAAGAATGTTTCATCATATCTCAGTCATCCTGGGCCCATGAATATGTAATATAATGTTGTTATAATAGGTTCAGTTTTTTAAACTAGACTTAATGCCTTTGAGTAAGCCTAGTTATCCTATTTGCAATCAGCCTGTTCACTCTGTACTTTTCACCCTCTTTATTCTTTCCTTCATCTTTGATTTTTAGTTTCTGAGCTAGCACGGAAAATATATCTACAATTCCTCTCCTCTAATTATGCAACCCATACAGGAGTGGTGTACTATGTCTTCCAGCAAAAGTTAAGAAATGCCCCTGGAGCCATTCAAGTCTACATTTAATAATTCTTCCCATGTCCCTGCCATGTTAGTTACAAATTAGATTGCCTTTTGCAAAAATTCCTTGGAAACTGAAAGCATTGACACCACTTCTTCCAGCTGGTGGTGACTAAAGCACTGCATAAGACTTAAATGATTTGTAATCTGATTCTAATAATTCTGTACTGGGTGACATCAATAACAGGATGATACAAATGTTTACCTAGAAGCTGAAGATATTACTGCCATATCTTGCTCATCCTCCTCTTTGGGAACTTCTCTAAACCTAGCAGGTTTTCAACATAACTCTTTTCCTCAGTCTACTTCTGTAACTTTTGAGAACAAAATGTTCAGGATTCAGGCATGCAGGATCTACTTTGTTTTTCACTAGAACTTGAGGTTCGCAGCTGGAGGCTGGTACGAAAGACATACACTTGAAGCAAATAGTTCTACAACAGATTTGTTTTGTGTACAATATCAGACATTAATCTATCAATCAACGTTACTTCAAACATTCATACTTTCAACAATTCAATTTAGACTGGCTATTTTTATTAAAAATCTGGAAGGTTCAATGACCTTTGATTCCTGTTAGTAGGCATCATGTTCTCAAACCTAATAGCATGTCACACAGAAATGCTCCTGTATTCTCTATACAGGTTACCTGGTACCAAGTGAATTCAGATTTGGTTCTGTAAAGACCACTTGGTGTAGACTACTTATCCTATGCTCTGGACATTTTGGAAATGGAAGTATCAAGCAACAAAGGAGACAGATGTTAAAGTTGTTAGTCTAGGACTTGGGAGACCAAATTCAAGTCCGTCCCATGGAAACTCACTGGGTGACTCTGGCCATTCAGTCTTTTTCATTACAATCTCTCCCACAGCAGGTTCCTGTCGTGAAAAAGATTATTGGAATCCCATGTATCAATGTTTCTTAAAGTGTGGTCCTAGGATTCCTTGAAATCAAAATTATTCGCTAGCCTATGTTGAAAAATAATACAATATTAAAATCCCATCAAACAATTGTGATTAGTGGTAGAGGCAGAAAATGGGTCAATTTTAATTTTTAATACAGTAAACATCGATAAATATAACCCATACGAATAAAAGCTCTTTTGGGATCCTCACATTTAATTTTTAAATACCAATGAAATAACATGTAAACTTTCTGTGTTTGTGAGTTTAACAGAAGAACTACTTCTGTGCCTGGCATTTTCAATTTCCCTTGTGACAAAGATGCCACCTAACTCGAGAGCAGCTATTATAATTTGGTAATCCTTTATAATCGCCAGGCTTGATTCAGGCCTTCACACACCAATCGCCCTCCTACCCCTTGCAAAACAAATGACATGGAACCGTAACCTTTTTAAAACTTCCTTTTACTGTACTTGACAGCTCAAGGCGAAAAGGAAGCGGACCGAGATCATGGCGCGTCTCCGGCTTCTCACTTACAAAACTACGCCACCAGGAATACCCTCTGTCGTGCTATCTACACACGTGCTTATGGCAGCTGGGATAACGTTTCGAGTCCCCCGCACTCGCCAGAGCTTAATCTGACAAGGGGGGGGGCAGGTTCTGGAAGGAGAAGGAGCCCAGGGAGAGCAGGAAACGGGACGCAGTCACTGACTCCCGCACGCACGCTTTCCTACTCCACCTCGACGTCTTCTCTCGTCGCTGCCACTCTGAGGAAAGACGAAAGCGGAGCTTACCGAGCACGACCGCAGCTGAGGAGGAGCTGGCGGAGGCCACGCTGAGGCAGGAGGTAGACCGGGATGAGGGGAAGGGGCGGTGCCACGTAGTGCGTGGCCTCGCGGCGCTTGTCGTCATCTCTGCCCCCTCCTCCCGTTTAGTAAGAGAACGTTCGGGTCTCAGTGCCCGTTCCGTCTTTTAACAGCGGGATCTTATCTACGTCAATCCATATTTGTATCTAGTTTTTTTATTTAAGGCTTATTTCTCAGTAGGTACATACGCGTGTACAGTCAGAAGTCAGCCTTGAATGCAATGGACTTACTCCCGACTTAGTGTATACCAGAGCCTTCCAGGGTGAATTAAAATCGTGGGGCTACCGGGAAATCCGATAGTTGCGAGAGTCTGCTTTAAAAACAAGATTCGGAGAACTGAGTTTATTCAGTGTCACTGCCATGGCAT